ACCTTCAAACTACACCTCTTCTCAACCTCAAACACAGAGCAAGACTCGCTCATCTTCAACAAGCTGGTCATCGAGCCCAGAGATGAAGGAAGAAGAGATTGCTACGCCCCAACCCTCCAAACCAACCACCTCCACATCCCGCAAGACCCGCAGGTTCTCCCGAGACTCAAACCACTCCTCAACGGGCGGCCAAGACCCTCAAATGCGGAATGCTGCCAAGCGTGCCGCCCATAACATCATTGAGAAGCGCTACCGCACCAATATGAACGCCAAATTTGTTTCCCTCGAGCAGGCCATCTCGCCCTCGGGTGTTCAAAAACATGCCAAGGTTGGCGCAGGGTCTCTCAAAAAGTCCGAGATCCTCACCAATGCCCTTGCCTACATCGATGGCATTCAGCAGGAAAACCAGGCGCTGCACAAGGAGCTCGCACTGCTCAAGCAAAACTTGCTACCGGGCGGAATCTGGCGTCATTCAAAAAACCCCCGACTATGATCAGGTGGATCATGCCACAGTGATACTGCCGCCTCAGTTATCTTTCTTGTTCTCATGACCGCGACGAGCGTTGTATTCTTAGAGCCGGACAACGTGGTCACGGTCGGCGTTTGTCTCTTTTTGCTTTGTTTTTCGATTATTTCTTTGTGGACTGGTGGAGGCGTTCGGATCAAGTGTGATTTGGGCTCGGATGTGGCCCTCTCTCATCTCAGACATGATTTGATTTTCGGGTCCTGGCGACCACAAAAGTGTTTTGTGACTTGTGATTCCCCTACACGGACGGGAATACCTCATGGATAGTATCCTAAAGCATTAATATAACTGCCAAGGCTCGGATAATTCATTTTGCTCAAACGTTCTCCTTTCCTGATTGTGTGCGGGTATGGCCCGATGCTTCCTAATGTGGCAATAGTTTCGCTCGGTGGTCCCATCCAGGTATATATACCTATAATGTAAGTGCGGTCCCTTCGTCTGTGATGTGCTGAACTGACTGGCCACTTTCGGCTACCAAGTGAATTCTCTCAAACAAATGCTGATTGAGTTTGGTGCCATGACTTTTCCCGACCTTCATATCGCCTTCGACATGGTCTCGATCTGGCTAAGGCCACGCTCTGGATAATAGTCAACTTCTTCAACTGCTGGGTTTATACTTAACAGACATGATCAGTCTAAAAAGCAAGTTGAGCAGAGCCAACATCGCCTCGAGGGACGTACTCAGTCCCCAGCCCTTGATCTGGGGGAGGGGATAAGATAAGTGAAATCTAGCATCGGATATCGCCTATTTTGCCGAGCAGGGACTGTGGAGGAGACAGAGGTTGTTGCTTTTTTGGCAGGTCAAAGAGCTGGCTGCGCTAATTACAGCCGGTAAGCGGAGATCAGAATGATTGCGGAAGCTACCCGTCCAACTCTCTGTGGCCCAATCAGGGGTGTCCAGGTCCAAGATTCCCCGTTTGGATTAGGCTGCTGCGCCGTGCCTGAATATCGCTGCAACCCCTCGCCTGCACGCTGCCAACAGACGACTGTACACTTCTCATGACTGGCTTTGAAAATCCGCTATCGATCGCGGGCTTGTCCGCCTGTCACGGGCATACCACGGCGACGTTCTGGGGCTCACGGAACTGGTACCCAACGGCACGTACTACAGTCTGTTCTTCATTGGCCTACATCGCCGCGTCTCGGTGCTTTCATCTCCTTCTCCTTCCTTTTGTGGGGTTGAGCTGGGCAAGATTTAGCTTTACGGTCAGACGGATGGCGGAGACCTTACAGCGATGCCCAACTGACCTACCCAAGTGAGCGTTCTTCGTTCTCATTACGAAGCAATAATTCAAGAAGTGGCCTTTTCCCCGGACGAAGCTCAAATCTGCTGCTTCAGCGGTGCAAAGTGCATTCTGAGTCCGTCGTGCCGGAATTCCCCTTTCGATGGGAACACGCTCACGGATCATACTTGGTCCTCCCGCCCGATGCCGGCTGATGATCATCTGCAGATGTTTCAAGCTGTGGCCTCGAATCCACATTGATATCACATTGGCTTCTGCTGGATAAGCCATGGCTATCACGCATATGTGGTATCGACTCCACAGAGATACTGTTTAATTTCTCACATGAAAATACAGATATGCAGCTCTACTGTTGCTACTATGGTGTCCGTTTACACATCAAAGCATGTTTGATCTCAGACTTGACGCCCCCAAACTTTACTGGAGCCGCGCTCAGAACCCCCCAATCGTCGATTCTTATCGGCCACGCATGGACTTGCCTTTTTGGGTCAACCGTCGCCACTGATGATTGTACTTTGATGTTGATATACAATATACAATGCAATTGATTTTCATATTGGGAAGATACTTACATATGTAGGGGAATATGCGTGCTTCCTTGTAAAATTGGCATTTTTATTCAGTTTCGAGGGATATCCCTATCCCTGAAGAAGAGAAGCTGTTGAGCCACAACGGTCGGACCTCGTGTGGTACGGAGCTGTGAAAATTGTGATGCCTGAACAAGTTGCAAGGTACCTTCATATGATATCTAATTACTCTGTACGGAGTATTTCAACATTAATTCAATCGCAATTATACCGCAGTTCTTATCTGTGGAGTGCATTTGTCGATATTATGGCCCACTGGAGGGAGGTCCTCCCGAGGGCGACCTGACCTCCCCGCAAAAACCCCAAAAATTTCAGATTTCTATTATCAACGTCTCCCCAGTCCATGACCAATCGTTCTGATTCAATCAAAACCTTGCTATCATACCCGCCGCGTCATTGGCTACTCCGGATCCCCAGCTTTATCTAAGCCTGTTAAACAAGGTTAATCCGTGAGGGGTGTCAATGCGGAGCGAATACGCTACACGCCAGATCTAAGCTATATAGAAATCATCGTTTCTCCCCCTTAACGCTCTCGTTGATCTTCGATCAGAAAATGGGCGCATTTCCCTCCTGCCTGCCCACTGAGTTGATATATACTGCCTCCGGCTGAATTACCACGGGATGGATTTGGAGTCCAATTCGCAACCCCTTAAGCCACCGCTGACGGACCAGAATGTGCAAGATGCGCAGGATCTCGCTGCGCTGGGTCATTCGCAGGCCCTGACGCGAAAATTCGACATGTTGAGTATGCTGGCGCTCGCCTTTTGTGTACTTGGTATGTTTGCGCTTTTTGCCACCCGATGAATGCCGAATGTGTGCTGATTGTCTAAGGAACCTACTCGACCTTTGCACAGGATCTCAGCAGTGGCCTGACCAATGGTGGTGCTATCACTATCCTCTGGGGTCTGGTGCTGGTCACAGCATGCAACCTCTGTGTTGCGCTCTCCCTGGGCGAGTTGACTAGCAGCATGCCGACCGCCCTCGGTCAGGCCTACTGGGTATATCGACTGTGGAATACACCGTTGGGTCGATTCGTCTCATACATGTGTGCATGGATCAATACATTTGGATGGTGGACCTTGACTGCGTCGCAGGTCGCCTTCATGACTGAATTCCTGCTAGGCATGAAGACCATGTTTGAGCCGGAGTGGGATGGAGTCGACAAAGGCTGGCTTAATTTTGTTGTGTATCTCGGGGTGGTCTTTGTGCTGACCTTGATCAACGTCGTCAGCTGCCGTAAGGAGAAGATCTTACCCTGGCTTAACAACTTTGTTGGAGTGTGGTTCTTCGGCCTGTTTATTGTTCTCTCTCTCGTGCTACTTATCTCGGTCGGAACCAAGAGTGAATTGTCGTTCCAGCCCGCTTCGTTCGCATTTGGTGCTTGGAAGAATGAGACTGGCTGGGGCGACGGGGTGGTTTGGTTCACCGGGTTGGTACAGGCAGCGTACGGGTTGACCGCGTTCGATTCAGTCATTCATATGGTGGAGGAAATCCCCGCGCCTCGGAAGAATGCTCCTCGAGTTATCTGGATGGCCGTTTTGTTCGGCGCTGTGACTGGTTTCATTTTCATGGTGGTCTGTCTGTTCTGCATCCAGGATGTGGAGCGCGTCGTCAACGCCAACCTCCCCTTCATGGAGCTTATGACCGAGACTGTTGGACTGAAAGGGGCTGCTGTACTTATTGCACTGTTCATTTTCAATGGTCTCGGCCAGGGAATCAGTGTCCTCACCACTGCCTCCCGTTTGACCTGGGGCTTTGCCCGTGATGGCGGCGTGCCTTTCAGCAGGTACTTCAGCCACGTCGACCCTGTGTGGCAAGTCCCTGCCCGCGCGCTCTGGGGTCAGGGCATCGTCATCGGTATCATCGGTATCCTATACCTATTCGCCAACACTGTGCTCGAGGCGATTCTCAGCGTCAGCACTATCGCCTTGACGGTCTCCTACGCCATGCCAATTCTCGCCTTGCTCATCACCGGCCGTGAGAAATTGCCCCCTGGTCCGTTCAAGCTCGGTCGCATTGGTCCGTGCTTGAACTGGATCAGCATCGTCTACTGCATTATCACTACCATTTTCTTCCTTTTCCCTGGCGGCCCTAACCCAGCGCCCAGCGACATGAACTTCGCCATTGCCGTGTTTGGTATTATGTTGGTCATTGCTGTTGCATTCTGGTTCATCCAAGGCAGCCGCACATATCTCCAGACTGAAGATGCGATCGCTTCAATGGTCTACGCCCACCATCTGGAAATGAATCAGGCAGGTGTTGATGACTCTGTTCCGGCTGTCCAAGCCCCAGTTATCGTCGATTATAAATGATATAGTGGGCTCTCATCTTCGTATAGAAGCCATACTATTTTTAAACGGGGTGTGTGTAGGACGGACTTGTACATATTTATACGTATGCATACATGTATGCAACCATAACCCGGTTGGATTTTATATATCTGGTTCATCATAGAAGAGAATTCGAGATCCTTGGCTTGGATAGAGACTCTGTGTCAATTCTAGTTATAATAATAATAATGTGAAGAAGAAGGAGAAGAAGACAAAAGAGAACCAAAAAGAGTGAATGAAGAGAGAAAAGTTCCAACTTCTGTCAATATAGACGGCCTCATCTGCCAGCATAAACACTGGAATAGCTGAATAATCACTGCTGGCTCCACCATGGGATGGCGGTGTCTCTCAATGTGTTCGAACCACAGTGAACATCACCGCCGTTAATATGGTGAGACCAAAAGTCGTCAATAAAATGTACCGTCATGTTTGACTTGCGGAAGGCATCCTCGACAGCTTCCTGGAAGATATCTTTACCATCGATAACCGGGCCAAATGCTCGAGCACAAATGAAATGATCGTCTAGAACGACCCCGTTGATAGCAGCTGGGTAGAAAGAGGCAACATTGAACTCTCCTTCTTTGGGTGGCGTCATGTGGGGAGGAAGACCATCGTGGCTTTCGGTGTGCCCTGGCCCGGAGAATTCACCATCGGTGAAGAGGTGGGGAATGCGGATCAGATCCTCCTTGGTCAGACCAGTCTCTTCGAGGAGAACATGCACAGCCGAATCGATATTTTTCTGCGCCCGGGTCGTGGCATGCAAGACCGTTTCGTCAGATATGACTTGACTGATCGTCCAGTTCAAATTTGGTTCAGCACCTTGAGGAGGAGCCCAGTCGCGTAAGTTCACGCTGTAAGCATCTACTCCCCCGTGTCCGCTCTCATTGGCTTTACGGAGGACATTTAATCCAGCTACCGGGTCCGAAACGGCGAGAGTAAAACCCAGTTGGTTATCCGCAGGCAAGAACGAGATGAACTCGTCGACATGTCCAACCGCCAGCCAACCAGCTTCGATGACGAGGGGATCTTGTAACTGCTGACTCTGGAAAAACTTCATCATCGCTTCTGAATTCTTCTCCTCAAAGTGTTGTCCAGTCAAGATCCGGCCGAGTGGATAGCGCTTGCCGGTTTTCTTGCTGGTATACGGCGGGATTGTTTCCACGTTGCCGCCCGAATTGACCTCTCGACGCCCTAAACCTCCACTTCCGACAGGTTGAAAACCACCGATGCCCCTGCCGCGGAGGTGGGTGAAGACCTGTCGGCCTGCCGGACGGCTGTTCTGGGCTGCACGGAGAATCACACGGATGGAGATGGGCCCGTTTGGCCCTGGCATGCTGGCAAATGCAGGTTCCATGAGATCCTGTGCCCAGACATCTTCGCTAGAGCCGAGCAAAGTAAGGGGAGTGTTCAATCCAGCCATTTGTTTAGCCGCATCGAGCTCCCTGATGAACCGGTGCTGGGCCGCAGTAGAGTCATTCCCAAGAACGCTGATTAGACGTTGAGGTGGCTGAAGGTGATGGTGGAGGAGGACCGGGGCAAGCTTGAGAGCTACATGGTCCGTTTTGGTAGTGTTGGCATCTGCAACAGTGAAGGAGATTTTAACAGTGCCGTTCCATACGTCGGGGTCTGCAACAAGTGCTCGAGAATCAATTCCGAGCTCCAGGCCGGCTCGGATGGCAGTGGCGTTGAAGATGAACTCAGGATCGATGTATATCCACTCGGAGCCCCGTCTCCAGAAAATCCGCACATAAGAGGATAGGTCCGCAGCAACATGTGCGGTCGCGTTGCTGCCAATGTCTTGGATGGGAATTGTGTGGAGCGGTGCAACATATTCCGGGGTGATCAGAGTATCTCCTGAAGCATCGTTGCAGCTGGCCAGCTCAATGTCACTAAGGTCCTGACCACTGCGGTCTGTGAAGTAGCACCTGCCTTCGGCATCGCCGATGTTAGGCAGGAAGATGGCGCCACGGTCCTCAGTCCAAAAGTCTTTGCCGACAGCATCTGTGTTGCCCCCCAGGTCCACTACTCCATCGCGATTGGTGTCGGCACGAATTTCGGGAGAAAAGGCACAAACGAGCGAAGAACTTAAGAGTAGAGAGGCGATATACATACCGGATCCCATCTTGGATTATTTGATGTTGATACAACATAGGAGTCCGATGGTCCTGCCCAAGCGGCAATCCATTATACTTATATACGTCGCCGGAGACGCCTAGAGTCATCGTCTTGGCTGGTTCCAATGTTGCTGCTTCTTGGAGATAATACTCCATAGGCACCATTTTTTTCATGATCGTCAATGAGGCTATACTACGCACATGTTGATATGCATGCCGAGCAGGAGCCCTGCCCAATCGACCAACCATGTCAATTTGCGCGCGCCGAGCAAATTGTAGTGGATCCGGGCGTCAATCATCCAACTTCTTCAAGGCCTTGAAGATTATAGTTACTTCCACGTGGGATGGCAAAGCTGGCAATAGGAAATTGGTGCCAACCCTTGGCGTTGCTGCCTACTTGGGACTTCCATTTCGCTTAGAAGTGCGGAGTAGCAATTAAGCTCCATCTGGACGAGACGGGGGTGGTGATGTAATTCCAAGCGTAGTCGGGTAGTTAAGGGCAAACTAAAAATTGGAGCACATCAATAGTGTCAATTCGTCCGAGTGTCTAGGCAGCTATTAAAAAGGCATTTGATACTGCGTTGCCTTCCAACACAGGATATGGCTGCCAAAACTTTCAAACTTACAACAGCGGTCCCGGCTTTCCACTCCCTCATATCGTGTCACAGTTTCATGCTTTGGTCCTTCCAATATTCTATACAATTTGTGATAACGGTTCCATGTAAAATTGGTATGCAAGGTGGGTCTTCCGCTAATTATTCTGGAAGTCACAATCGCAGAATAATTTCCCGCTTTTTTGATAGATTAAAATTATGATCGGGAAATAATCAACTAGAAACAAACCAACTTACTATTCTGTCTTTCCCGGGGAGGAGGAACTCGTTTAATCTCACGACACCGCCTCGAGAATCGGGAGGAAGGAGATGATATCTTTTAACAAAGTTGGTGGATCAATTCTGGCCGACTGAAAGAACTAGTGCTACTACGTGCTTCTGCGCGGTGTTGTAAAGGTCGATCAGTGTCGTACTGCCAGATTTCTTTCACTAATAGGGACCGAGTATGCAAACACAACAAGCAAGCTCTTTCCAAGACAGCCGCAGTTGACTATTGGTCTCTAGCTCAATGCTAACCAGCTCCTCAAACAATGTAATCTCTTATGGAAGTCCCTTGTCGTCCAGAGCAAGACCGCAAACGAGAAGTGGCTGTGCTCAATGCATGTGCTGTCTCTGTGAACCATGCTCCATGCTAATCCTTTTTAAAAAAGTCGGAAGAAGTGCGATGAGAAGAGGCCGCGCTGTGGCGGGTGTACTCAGAGCGCCCGCAAATGACTGGCCGAAAGCCAGTCGCTGGACAACGCAGGTACACGAAATCACCCGGCTGTCGTAAAAGCAAATCTGCCATGAACATGAGCATGGCCAAGTACAGCCAGTCAATTCTGGGACCACCTATGAGCTCCACTGAAAAATGTCTGTCTCCCTCGACATTAGCAATGATATTTATTTGAGACAGAATAGAAACAAGACTTTAAGACAACCTTACTATATTAGGACTAATTTTATAACGTTAAAATTCCACAGAACTTTTGAAATGGACCTCCGTATGTTGTACTCCGTAGACAACACGCAAACACACCAAATCGACAAGTTGGGGCTAACGGGAACTAACGGGAACTACCGTCTCGACTGATGTGTCACGAAAGCAAGAGTACATCTCGTCACCTTGCATTCTTGCCCAGCCCTTTTTCACTCAAGGCTGAGATGTCACATTAAATAATGAAAATCGACCACCAGCCATATCTGTCTCCAGTGCCTAAATTATGACTCTGGGACACTGGAAATTTGCATTGGCCCCAGCCCCCGACGTAGTCCGACGCAGTCCCGACGCACAGCGATGCAAACAAAACCGATAGTCATTCGGGTTGCAACAGTGCTTCAGCACATTTCAGCGCCACAGAAGCCTAGTGCAGGTCCTTCCGAAATTGTCTTGATTTTTGATGTAGTAGCCTAATTGGCTTCCAGCTGGTGCATCAGGCTTGGCAGGGGACGAATGGTTTCGATCATTGAACACATCTTCCAGCTGACATGCAGCTGATTCCCATCGATCAGATTTGATAATAGATAAACCGTGGGCATCATGTAAATCAGAACCAGAGCTGATCCCATTTTTAGGGCCAAGTCATCCCAGCCCAGCCACCCGGCAATACAAGCCCCCTGACGCCCCTCACATTGTTTCCTTCAAAGTGGGTCAACCCCTGCAGATCATAGACGGACCCCCGACGGACGCGCCGAATCTCACAGTGGGATAGAGAGTTTTTCTCCATACCGATCACATCACTAACAATCCACCGCTCCTTAGGTTGAGAAAGGCCGTCGGTCGCAATAATGCGAGTATGGAGCCATATCCCGAAGATGCAATCCCAGCCGCCGCTACTCCGCAGCGATTATTGATTTAGGAAAGGTCTCACCAAACGGACATCCACAGCGATGCCAAGGGAATGACGTGAAACTTCGATTAGAGCACTCCGTCCTTGTCAATACTGTCTTATCTCGGTTTATCCTGGACTTCTTCAACACACATTCTTTGTCGCGCTATCATTCCCCCCACCAATGCAACCATAATAAATACCAATTCGCGGTCTTTACCCCTCCTTTATATTTCGGGCTATTCTGTCAGACTATTTATACTTCCTATATTCGCTGTCCAGAAGCCCCGACCAGTGTCTGATAGGGTGTCCTCATATCGCTCGTTTTTGCCATGATTGCATCTCTATTTAACCGTGGAGCCTTGTCGCTCGCGGTATTATCGCTTCTCGCGTCCTCTGCTTCGGCTGATGTATTTGAGAGTTTGTCTGCTGTTCCTCAGGGTTAGTCACTTGCGTTCTAAACTAAACCCACGGAATTGATACACTGACCTACCATAGGATGGAGATATTCTCGCACACCGCGTGCTGATCAGCCCCTGAAGCTCCAGATTGCTCTGGCACAGGGGGATACTGCCGGATTCGAAGAGGCTGTGATGGACATGTCAACCCCCGATCACCCCAGCTACGGGAACCACTTCAACACCCACGAGGAAATGAAACGGATGCTGCAGCCCAGCGCGGAGTCCGCAAACTCGATCCGTGACTGGCTTGAAAATGCGGGTATTACCAGGATCGAACAGGATGCGGACTGGATGACGTTCTACACCACCGTGGAGACGGCAAATGAGCTGCTGGCAGCCAATTTCCAGTTCTATGCCAACAGTGTCAAGCACATCGAGCGTCTTCGCACACTCAAGTACTCCGTCCCGGAGGCTCTGATGTCGCACATCAACATGATCCAGCCAACCACCCGTTTCGGCCAGCTGCGCGCCCAAGGGGCTATATTGCACACCCAGGTCAAGGAAACCGACGAGGCTTTCCGCTCAAACGCCATGTCCACTTCGCCTGACTGCAACAGTATCATAACCCCTCAGTGTCTCAAGAATATGTACAATGTCGGTGACTACCAGGCCGACGACGACAATGGGAACAAGGTCGGATTTGCCAGCTACCTGGAGGAGTATGCACGGTACTCCGATCTGGAACTATTTGAGAAGAATGTCGCACCCTTTGCCAAGGGGCAGAACTTCTCCGTCATCCAGTATAACGGCGGTCTTAACGATCAACACTCGAGCGGTAGCAGCAGCGAGGCCAACCTCGACTTACAGTACATCATTGGAGTCAGCTCTCCTGTTCCAGTTACAGAATTTAGCGTTGGCGGTCGTGGTGAACTTGTTCCCGATCTCGACCAGCCTGATCCCAATAATAACAACAACGAGCCGTACCTTGAATTCCTTCAGAACGTGCTCAAGATGGAACAAAAGGACCTTCCCCAGGTGATCTCCACCTCTTATGGCGAGGACGAGCAGGTATGACACCCACCCCCCTTTGTTCGTGATTTCGTCGGTCTCTAATATCAACGACAGAGCGTTCCCGAGAAGTACGCCCGCACCGTTTGCAACTTGTACTCGCAGCTTGGCAGCCGTGGTGTGTCCGTCATCTTCGCATCTGGTGACTCCGGCGTTGGCGCCGCGTGCCAGACAAACGACGGCAGGAACGCAACCCGTTTCCCTCCCCAGTTCCCCGCCGCCTGTCCGTGGGTGACATCAGTCGGCGCGACAACCCACACTGCGCCCGAGAAGGCCGTTTACTTCTCGTCCGGCGGCTTCTCTGATCTCTGGGATCGCCCGAAATGGCAAGAGGACGCGGTGAGTGAGTACCTCGAGACCCTGGGCGACCGCTGGTCCGGTCTCTTCAACCCTAAGGGCCGCGCCTTCCCAGATGTCTCAGCCCAAGGTCAAAACTACGCCATATACGACAAGGGCTCGTTGACCAGCGTCGACGGAACCTCGTGCTCAGCACCTGCTTTCGCCGGAGTCATCGCCCTCCTCAACGACGCCCGCCTCAAGGCCAACAAACCCCCCATGGGCTTCCTCAATCCCTGGCTGTACTCGAAAGGCCGCGACGGCCTGAACGACATTGTTCATGGCGGCAGCAAAGGCTGCGACGGCAATGGCCGCTTCGGCGGCCCCAGTAACGGTAGTCCGAGGGTTCCAGGTGCTAGCTGGAACGCTACTAAGGGCTGGGACCCTGTTTCCGGTCTTGGATCACCCAACTTTGCTACCATGCGCAAGCTTGCGAACGCTGAGTAGGTTGCGAGTCTTGGTGTAGTGCACTGCTTCAATTTCAGCTTATGGCTGATTCCGACCGGTTGGAAAATTTCCTGTACGCATGCATGCTAGTTACATAGACTCTTTTCTATATTTGCAAATATAATAATCTTCTGGCTGGTATGATTTGTTGACGCTTATGCAATGTGACCTCTTCCAATGTTTTCGATCGTGATTTGTTATTTATTACTCATCTTGGCTTGAGGCGCTGCACACTATGAAACTTCCACTCCAAGGCTCACTGCTGTAAGAGGGATAAATTTGACCCGTTCCTGGTGCATGCTGAGAATTCACCGAGCTTGGGGATTGTCTAGACGCGCCGACTTCTCTCTAATTGGGTCGGCCTTTCTGGCAATATCGTCGATGTAAAACCAGGACCTGTGAATTTCCTGTTTCGGCTAGTTTTACCGTTTCTGGTATAGCCTCCCGATACGTCGTACTGTAAACGCTGCCCGCCTGGCCTCCCAATATAAAGGAGCCCTCCCTACTGTTCTGACTTCGTCTCCTCCCAAATCTTTTCCTCTTGCCAAACTCCCTCC